TTTTTAGCGACAAAAATTCAAAATCCGCTTACCATGCTCAAGAACTTTTAACATATCACTATCATCAGTATCATTTATATTATTAAATTTTTTTGTGAATGTAAGATTATCACCAATGGTAATCAAATCAATTGCTGCTGTATGTTCCAAATAATGTGCATGCGTCATTTCTTGTTGCAAATACTCACGAAATCTCATCACTGTCCTCAAATAATTCATTGATATGGAATGAGATCAGTGTGGAGCTGATAAGACAAGACGAGATAAGTTTTTTTACATAATAATTAATTATATTTGCAAAAATAATCGAAATAAATAGAAAAGTTTCATTTTATCTGATACATTCTTTTATCACTTCAAATATCATAGTGAAAATGCAAACGGATAAAAGATTTTATTGGGGAAAAAATTTTTTTGAAATAAAAAATTGAGACAAACCAAACAGAAACACATTGTGGTTTATCATCAGGTAAAATATATACGTGAAAAACAAAGAGTTGAGGTAGAGCGCAAGCGATAGCAAATATCCATGCTAATGCTATCATTTGATTTGTTGCAAAATGTGACTTCTGAAAATTTTGTTGCAAAACGTGACTTCTAATTTTCATCAAATTTTGAATATTCTGGAATTACCCATATTTATTTTCCATCTATTCGTTTTGTTTTTTTTTTTAATGCAACAAATTTAAGTTGAATTTTTTTTAATATTTTATGATATGATAAGTGAGAAAAAAAAAAACTAAAAGATCCAATTAAATACAGTAAGAAAATCAATAATGCTATGTAAAATCACGTAAGGCATGATTTGCTGACAAATTATTTTCTTTCCTTGCAAAAATAATTTTCATTAAATTTAGGATATTCTAGAAGTACCCATATTTATTGCTAACATGCAAGTATAGCAAGTATAAAAACGATGCTAACATGCAGATTTAAGAAAATGCATATTATTCTAAAAATTAACAAATAACAAACTTGATGAATTTGACGTAAATGTGTTGTGATATACAAACGATCTGCTGCAATAAGCACTTGCATATTTGCTGTTAAATGTAATGAAAATGTATTGATAAATTTTGTTGTACGACATAAAAAATCACCGCCATACCACTGAAAGTATCAAAATAATTTCAGATATAATTTAGAAAAATTAAAATATTGCATCATTTTAAAAAAAAAAAATGAGAGTATCAAAAAAAAATTTTTTTTAATTTTTTGTTAGATTCTTGACAGTATCATTTTTTTTTTAGATTTTTTCTTTACAACTTTTTTCCAGTGTATGTTTACTTAAACATCAAAAATATTACATGTACATGCCAAATGATGCGAATTTCATCTATTTTGAGTACTCATTTTTAAAATTTTGATTAACACACTTTGACATTATGAGGTGCAAAATAAAAATCAATAAGGTCTCAAATTAAGTAACGCTTTTTTTTACCTCCTTTTCTCTTTTTTGTTAGGTGCATTTTCGATTCCCTAGAATAAGTATTAAAAAAAAATTTAAATGAAAGGACACTTACATTATAAGTAATAATCCAAATGATTTGTGTTGGAGCATAAACATAAAGTACAATGAGATCTGCTACTGTTAAGCTTATCTTAAATTTCACTAATCTTGCTGCCAAAACAATATGTCTTCGATAGTTAGAATTAAATCTGAAGAAGAAAAAAATTACATTTTCCTGAAATTTCCATCCATAGACTAAAAATCATATATTTGTTAGTTAAGAAATAAAAGATTTTATTTTCAAAATCTTTTTTTCATTTCATAATTCTTTATCAAAAGTTTTAAGCAATCAGTATCATTGCTTTTTGGAAATTAATTTTTGAGTGGAACAGGGCATTTTCTAAGGATGTTACAGTTACAGTAATAAATGGCAGTTTAAATTTACTTTTAATTTTAATCTTGATATATTCTGCTTTCATCCAAAGCTTAATTTAATCATGCGAATTTTTCAATTCGAAAACAAAGAAAAAATTCAACAGGGGCAACTATATGTGTCTAAAAATTTCAGAGACACAAAAATGATTTCAAAAAAAAATAATTGATAAATAATGCAATTTGTTCGTCTGCCAACATTAAGCAGATAATTTCAAAGCATTTAAAATTTTCAAAACATTTCTTAAAAAAGAAATTGCTTGAGGAACAAATTCATCATTTCCAACTTCTCTTCCATACCTATTTTGGATAGATTGAATTAAATCTGTGATTCGTAAAGAATCAAATTTGTGATCGTGTCAAAATAAATAAATAAACAGTGTCAAAGCAATTATGCTTTGAAACAAAGAAACTTCAATTATATTTGTAAAGCAATGTAATTGTTAAAAATTTAATTGAAATTTTTTCAAATTGCGCTCAATAAATTAAATTCACAATATCGGCAATCTAATCATTTTTACAATTTAGCTTGGTGGGAATTTTCATTGCTAATTTGATAAATTTTAATTTTAGTTTCAATGCATCAATGATTAACGAATATTCATCGGATAGTGCTAAAAAACAATTTTTATATTTATGTGTTAATTAGAAACGAAGCGCTGATTACAATTTTATTCTTTCAAAAGCTATTCTTTTATCATTCATTTTGAATGTTAAATATTAACTTCTGAAACTAAATTAACCGATATGGCTCACTATTATGGCATTATCTAATCAATTATATCAATAATACCTGCGTAATGTATAGAAGCACACGGCGAGGCCCAATAACATAGCTAAAGCATAGATTGCACTCTCGATAATATAGCTCATTCGAGCGGCCGCAAATTGATCATTCTCGAAAATACTTTCATCAGCCATCGTTTCATTTAATAATTCAACTGACCATCACTCTCAAAAAATATTTTTCTCAAAAAAAAAAATGTTTTATTTTCTCAAAAAGATGTTTTTTTTTTTATTTTTGATGAAAAAGTGTAATATTGATAAGAATGAAAGTAAAAATATTTGATTTCAAATACTACGAAATCGCATGAATTGTGAAATATGCGACATCATTCGGTTGAAAGCCATTCAAAAAAAAAAAAAGAAATTGCTTCATTTCACATCATCTTTTATTGTCTCGTTTTTTCGACTAAATTGCGCTTTGTTTTAATTTTCAAATTCTAAATTCTGAACATTTTAATTGAGATGGTTTGTGTATTTTTTCTTTTTTATTTCAACATCTAACAAATAGTCATATTTTCTTTCCAAACATCTGAGTTAGAAAAAAAAAAGAATATAGCTATTTGTGAGAGGATGAAATGTGCTAAATTGTGATTCGGTTGATATGAAAAGATAACAAATATACAATTAGAATAAAAATGGCAAAATTTTAAGCCTAAAAGTTTGGATCTATTCTAACCAAGTAATAAATTAAATTTTGCTATAAAATCAAAAAACAAAAGGCTAAAAAGAGTTAGACCAATTTCAGCATCAATGCGATGAAATATTTGAAATTAAATATCAATCAGAAAATAAATACTGATAGAAGAGTCTCGAAAAAGTAATCAAAAAAAAAAAATTAAGAATTTTAGAAGACATGTAAACACTTCATTCATCCTTTTGTTTATTTATTTTATTTGATTCTTTTTTCTTTGCAAAAAAAGAAAAGACATCGACAAAAAAGGAAGGAAATTTTTGAACAATTTCAAAGAAAGCCACTTTTTTAAATCAAAGTAAAATTTGAAAAATATGAGATGAACGGAATCTGAACATAATGGAAGGAAAAAGTGAAGTTATTTTTGATTGTAAATTTATAAAAATTGATAAAATTTGCTGTAAATAAGGAGAGAAATGAAAATGAAACAAAATTTTTAACAATATTTAAATTTCAGCTGCTACAATAAAATCTTCACCTGCTATACCAAGCATTTTTTTTTTCTTTGTTATTCCTCCTCATTTCTTTCATCCACAATTTCAATATTTAAAATAAAAATAATTCTCGCTGATTTATGAAGAAATTATTCGAAGTATAATTTTTGGTGAAACTGTCACCTGTCTGTAATGACTAGTTGACAAATTTAACATTAATTTCAATGATTATTCAACGATCATTTAATAAATTTTTTATCTTTCATTTTATTGCTATGAATATTTTTATTTGCTAAATAGTATATCTCATTTAGTTTTAATTTTTATTGTCATCTATTTTCTCGTAAAGCAATAAACCTCACTTTATCGTTAATTATTTTTCAATATTGATTTACAATTCCAATCTGTAAAAAAGGAGTAAAATTCCCGCGGGCAATTAGTTAATGCAAGCAATTCGATCGGTTTATAAAAAATTTTGAGAAATTATTTACATCATAAAAAGTTTGCAAGCAATTAAACAACAATATGATATCATTAGTTAAGAGATGAATGGAACTTAATCATTCACAAGGTAGGATAATATTTCTTATCCTTCATTAAGCTTATGAATCAAAATAATCAAAGTCAATCATTGCATTAAATTATGTTTGCCTTAGGATTTTTCCTAATTTTTGGCTGAATTAAGATCAAAGCCTGAAAAATCATGACCATAAAATATTTTAATTTGAAATTTTTTTTTGCTAAATAACTGGAAGTGGTGGCAATTTTGTGTATTCTCAATTGACAATTTATTTAATGTATGTTTAACAAACAATCACAAGCATAAATAGAACAAATAATTCTAATAATATTAATATTAGCTTCACTCAATTATTCCAAGAAGTTTATTCGGAAAGTCAAAAAAGATAAGAAACGGATCAATTATTTGCATAATTTAGCCACAAGCAAAAAAATTTTTTTTTTGAATGTTTAAAATTTAAATATTTAAAATTACTAGATGTTTACTTGCATAAATATAAAACAGCAGAAATTTTGAACATTCAAGATTTTAATTCTATACTTTGTATGAACTCGGGACTTTCTTTCTTTTAGCACACGAAACTTTTGCATTTTTAATCTGCCACTAATTTTTAATGAAAATAGAAAAATGTCATTGCCATATTCATTTACTTCAATTGGTGAATGAAAAAATTTTGTAGAAAATAGAAAATATCGGTTTGAACAGAATTTGTGCAAAGTTTAAGGTTAAATTTTGATGATTTCAAAAAAAAAAAGACATTCATGGGATGAAACGTACATTGGTCATAATAAATCAATGTTCCAGTGATTAATTTCCTCTACTAATTAAAAATATTGATGATAATGAATAAAAGGAATTCTCATTGGGTGATCTTTGGTGATATTGTTAAGTTCTCGAAATTTGTCAATTGTTATTATTATTTTCTGGCGGGTTTCTTTTATAAATTGGTATATTTCACGAACTGTTAATTTCGTTTTTCCATTCAATTTTAGTTTTATTAATTCATTCCCATTTTTTAGGAGGATAGCGAAGAGTTAAAAGCGAAGAGGGATCACATTCTTTTTCCCTTTCTTCTTTTCATTTAAGCAAATAAATGGAAATTGCAATGTAAGTTAGGCATTTGCCGTAGTTCACATTTCTTTTTCCATTCTCGTCAAGATTCTTTTTTTTTCTTTAAAAAAAAACAGCATGAAAAATATATTTGCTTGAGATGCTATAAATGGTAATTCAATAAAAGAGGGCAATATTTTTCCCTGATAAATAAATTGCTAATGTGATCTGATAGTTTGAAAACATATTTTTCTTCTATATAAAATAAAATATAATGACGAATGCTTTTATGAAAAATAAAATTCCAAAGTTTTTTAAATCACTTATTATTTGCTTATTTGGAAATTCTATTTTTTAAATTAGGAAATGATCACTTTTATGTATATAATATTTATAATATTGTCTTTATACTTTTCATTAGCTACTCTCGAAATTATAAATCCTTTTATGAAACCATCAATTTTCCTGCCAAAAGTTTATTTTTTTTTTTCCAAAACTATCCTAACTATCAATTTCCTTCATCACTTTTTATTAGTTCAACGTTGAAATTTACAAAACTAAAATTAATTTTTACTACTAATTATGCCTACTTAAGGTAGTGATATTAATAGAAGAGATTTAATTTTTTTTTTATAAATGACAAAAACAGTGGAAGAAATTTGGTTGAAAAACTTTTTATATTTCTGATGAAAACGAATGGAATATTGTTGTTCGAATATAAATAATGAATTAAAGATTGATAGAATTTAATAATAAACTATGCATAAAACCTCAATTATAAATTATAATTTCTTCATTCCTAAAGTTATTAGGAACAATTCATTTGCCCAAAGTAAGAATTAGCCACATGTGATATATACTTTTTTATCTTATTCTCACTCTCCCGAAAATCGTAAATTGTGCTGAAAATTAAATCTTAAAAATTTTACATTTTAAGAGGAAAATACAAAAAATAAAAATTAGGCAAATATTCTGGAAAAGACTGAAAAGAAAGCAATTTAAAAATTTTATATTGCCGAAATTTATCAAAATGAAATATGCACAAATGAAAAAGACTAATTCATCTGACATACTTTTTTAATAAACAGATTGCAAAAAATGATTTTAAATTCTTATTTAAAGAAAATGTATAATGAAACAAATATATTTGAGGAAAATTAAATTTTTGTTTGAAGGCGGAAATGATTACATTATTATTGAGGGAAAATGATAATATTGATTAAAAAAGGATGTATTTTCGAAGATAAACGGAAATAATATAAGAATTGAGCAATTTTTTGTGCATTAATTTTTTTGGTTGCATTTTTTTTTTTTTTACTAAATGTTATTTAATCAATCATTGACGAGAAAAGAAATGTAATTTTTTTAAATGTTATAAGAAAATGGCTTACACGCTTATTCCTTACGTCATTTGATCCTATGATAATTGAAAATACTAATTTTAATGCCATCATATCCGTTCTTAGTCTAATCTTCTCTCTTAAAAGATGTAAAATGTAAAAACGGTCAGGACAGGAGAAAGATGAATAATTTCTTTAGAAGCTTCATAGTATCACATCTCTTCAATTATCCTAAACAGATCTAGCAATTAGCTAATCTTCCCTAACAGTTGTTAGCATAAATGAGATTGCATAATTGTCAGATTTATTTAAGCTAACGATCATAATATAAGTAATTGCGTAGATATAATCAGATATTCTACATAATTTTAAGATTAATAAAATATTCATATGCGGAAGTGCACGCACTTCTGCTGTTATTATTGTCACCTTTGGATTTACTATGTTATGCGCAATTATAATTCTTTATAAGACATACATAAAGATTTAAATTTTTGGAAGTACCGTTCCTTAATAAATATTATAAAATGTAAGTAAATGAAAATTCTATACAACAAGTAAATTCTCGAAAAGTCCTAATGAAACGTAAGAAATCACGTGCGTTTCATGCGGCACATCACGCTAACGGTAATTTACAGAAAAAATTAACTGGATACTTGATGCGATGATGAGAGGAGGATTTATTTGCTCATCAATTGAGCACCATTAAATTGTAATTCTCATTCATATTTTATTGAGAGGTTAGGATTCGAGAATAAACTCAAATAACTTTCTAAATCGCAACTACTTTTTTCTTCAATTTTTGCAAAAAAAAAAATTTTTTTTTTCATTTAAAATTAAAAATTTTAAGTGACCAATTATTTAAGTTTATAGACAATAAATAATTTTGATCTTTTATGAAAGGGTGAAAGAAAAAGAGAGTAAGGAGAAAGACAGTAAAAGAGAGTAAACTAATACTAATTTAACTTTTAATAACATTTAATTTAAGCAGATAATCAGATTATACATGCAAAAATATCACTATTTTCATCCAATAAAAATTCCATCTTTTTGAATAGTTTAAATGTTGAAGAACTAATTTACAGTAGTAATGTGATGAAAATGAGTGAAGTTAAAAAGAAATAAAATGAAAACGAGTAAATGATTGAAATGGAAATTAATCTGTGGCAAATTGATGAAGCCGGAAAAAATTTTCCTAAAAATATTTTTTACAATCAAATAAACTCCTGCTTGTACTATTCTTTTCTATGATATGAGAAGTGTAATTAATCATTCATTTGTTATAAAAGTATTTTAATCATTAATTATAAAAAAGATTTAATAAACAATAGTATATGATAATGTTAAGCTGAAATGAAGCTTAGCGATCAGTTTTAAATAAAATGTTAGTAGCACGCAAAAAAATGGAAATCTTTGATAGACAAAAAACGGAATAAAATGAAATTGAAAAAATTTATTCTTTCAAGTTACTAAGAAAACAATTGGAATCAAAATATAAATAGAAAAATAAATTTATAAATTACAATGATTTTGAAATGCAAATAACTCAAAATAAATTATTATAATAATCTGTTCGTATTTTATTGAAAATATTTCACATAAACTAATAATCTGCTCGTATTTTTAATGCTGAAAATATTTCTCATAAATTTACGATAATTTAATTTTCTCAAATTCTCCTGATTGCTATCATATATGAATTATAAAAAAACTGTAATGAATCATAAAGAACGTTTTTGCACATTATAAACAATAGAATTGATTAAAAATTTGTATGTTTGAAATTTCAAAAACCAGATTCTTTCATTATTCGTTCCCGATTGTAAATTTGAAATGTCACATCGATAGCCGAAAGATTTTTTGCCTCTGTAAGCCGAAATCTCACACTTATGAAGGAAATTTCTTTTTAAGCATCAAATATTAATATTAATATGAATAAATATTAATAAGTTTAATTGAAAATTTTGCATGTTTAAAATTTAATGCACAATTTTTAAAAAGCAATTTCTGATATCTTTTGTCTGTTTGTTCATTTCCTTCAATTCGATAATGTAATCGAAATTATGTCACATAAAAAATTTTCTTTTTTGTTTGTAAAATGCCATAAAGCATATGAAAAAACTATTTTATGGTGACGAAAGGAGAAGAAATATGAAGGTTAAATTGCAGAAAAGTACCGCAGCTAATTTCGATAAGCGACTGATTAGCTAAAATATTTGCTCATCCTTTTAGCAATCCTATAATTTTCAATACTATGACGTCAATCCTCTACTTCTATGTTACAAACATTCCAATTTTCACTAAATACTATTTTTTAAATTAATAAACTATAAAATTTGCTTCTTCACATATAAAATAAATTTAGATCAAAAGTAATATATTGTTGATCAGAATTGTACGAATGCAATCATATTGAATATTTATGATCAGTGGAAAGTGCGCAAAAAATAGGTTGTCATTGTTTAAATTCTTTTACATTTCCAATTTATCAAAATTTCAGTAATAAATTATTGCTTAAAGAATTTGTTACGAATAAATTTTTTAAAAATTTGAAATGAACTAATTAAGAGAAGTGGAATGTAATAATTAGTTTTGAAAAGTTTAACAGGACATTTCACCCTACAAATTAACTCTTAAAAATTCATTTAATTAATGATATGCTACAACTATTAAAAAGTAAATTCATTGCAACTTACAACATAATTTAGGTAATCCTTTTTGGATCTTTTCAAAATTGTTCTAAAAAAATTTAACAGATGGAATGTTGACGATATCTTTTTGGCCTTTGCTTCATCTCAAACTTCGTCATGATGGTGAAATAAAATGTTGACTAAATTTAGGCATTTAATTGACCTAATGTAAAAATAAAAGTATTGATAAAGCGATTTGGAATTCACAGTTAGGTGACGAAGAGAAGCAGAATTTGATTTGATGCTTTATTTTAAATGGCAACAACGGAATGATGACAATTTTATTTCTTTATAAAGCAATCAAAAGTAATTTCTTGAATGAAAATGTAACACAAACGGAGAAATCATTTCAAAAGTTGTATGCTTCCATTGCTTTTGCCATACATAGCTTAGGTGAAAAGAAAAAGCTCGTTTAAGACAATCAAATTTTCCCTTTTGAAATTTTTGAAAATCTCGATAATGAAATCTATGGCTTACCATACGAGGGTTATGCATTGGCTAATAAACTAAAAAACTTAAACAATTTGATTTAAAAAAAATTTTTTCTTTTCCCAATGGTATAAGAATTTTAATTGCGTAATAAAAATGCACAAAAAAAAATTAATCAATTAAATGATATTTGTTCATCGTCAACTTATTCAATTTCATATTCCAACAACAATAATGGCAAATAATTCGAATGCATTTAAACTTTTTAAACTTTTTTCCCTTTTTTGCAGCTAACTAAATTTGTTATATTTGAAAATCAATAATAGTGATAATTTTTTCTTATCTAAAAAGCGAAAATGAAAATGCGATGCTTTCCTTTTTTTTAAAACTTTAACTATTATGTTAATGAGCGATAAATGAGAAAATTAACTTTCTCATTTACTGCTCATTAACATAATAGTCACTCGATTTGATCCTTTGATATTCATTAATTGATAAAACTATGAACTGTCCGTTCAACTGTAATTTAATTACTTTTTACTTAACATTTTAGTTTATGCTTAGTTGGTATTGTGTTCGTCACAAATTGCTATCGAAGAATTCATTTATTAATTTTTGATATTTTTTTTTCTTTTGTTTATACTTTCTTCCATTTTTGAGGAATATACCCGAAAAAGATTAAAACTTCAGAAAGAATGTCTCAAATATGTCAATCGTTTTGAAAAAAAAAAAATTTGTTTTGTTTGATTTTTCTTAATTTTTGATAAAAAAACAAGTCAGAAAAAGTCAAAAAAACAAATTATTTTCACTTTTCACCTTTAAAGGTGAAAATGTAAGTGGAAAAAATGACACAATGAATTTTTTGAAATAAGCAAAAAATGAAGAGAAAATTTTTTATTTTAAAAGAAAGTGAGGGAATAGTAAAGAAATTAAAAAGTAACTAAACTAAACTAAATTAAACTAAACATATTAAATCGAAGCTACGAATACGACAATGTTTCAGGAAATAAAATTATTGACTATCTGTCATATATATTCAAACCATCAAAATACTATTTCCATTTATAGTTGCCCAATCCCAAAATATCAATAATATCTCATTACAGCAGTCTAATCATTTCAAACTTATTTTTACAAAAAAAGAAACACACAAACTTAAAAAAGCTTAAAATTTCAATCATATCGATCAACTCAAGGATAACATTTTGTTAATTGTAATTCTTCGAAGCGTTTCTCAGATGGATCATACAATGGTATCGGCATCTGTCCAACACAATCATGAATCTCACGACGACGATCTTCTGGACGTTCGCGATGTTGTACCAAATTAATTAAGTCAGGATCAAAACGTGGCGATAATAATCGATATCCAGGAATCTACAATCAAACAGTTTAGTAATTTAGAGTATGTATCATTGTTTAACTTAATTTGTCTCATTTCTACGTATAAACACATTGTACGCTTCTAAATTTGACATTTTTCAAAAAAATCCCACGTTATCTGTTAACTATTTAATAATGCCTTTAGTATTAATATTAAATTTGGTAAGCTATTTTTATTTAACCTTATAATTTGCAATTTTTAACCTTTCTTCCAATGTTAAAGTAATTAGCAGTTGTTGAAAAACCAGCTGTAGAGTGATTTACATCAGCGACAGCCTTGAAAAAGTGAAATCAAAGTTTACTGTAATTTAAAGGAAGTTTTTATGCATGAACGTTGATAAATTTGTTTCGTTTATATAACAAAATTTGTAAATTTCTTCAAAAGTTTAAAAGTTATAAAATATTTCTGAAATCAAGTTATCTAATGTAATCTCGAAAATTGTTGACACTATTTACTTGTTGTTAAGGATGGTTTAACTTTAATTTCATTAAAAACATTGTACCGTTAAGATTTGCTCAATTAAACATTGTTGTCTCATTTTACTATTTTCCAATCATTTTTC